AGATTTGCCTTTCAAACACACGCCGAAGATCACAGACCCCCCCTCGGGAGGAGGAGTGCGTTTCCAGTGATGCCATTGAAGAGTTCCTCATTCCTGTCCCCCTCCCACCCCCGCGGGGAATCGTCCCAGTGCCCAGATCTGAAAGGGAGGCCCAGCTGGAGCAGGACGACCCAAAGCCGGACACCGGGCCCGAGTCCGACACGGCCAGCTCCTCAAACTTCCGTATCACTCTCTTCACCGACTGGAAGGGAACGTCCCGGCACCAACGGCCCCCGCCGGCCACGCCGGGACCCCTGTAGTCAGAGTCCTTGCCGAGGAACACGTGGGGAGGAGGTGGGAGGCCACAGCGCAGCCGCAGCCGACCCTGGCCCAGGCCCAGGGCCGGGAGAACCCCGGCCGGGTCGAAGCGGGTTGGCAAGGTGGCCAGGTGCTCCCGGGTCAGAGGGTTGTGGAAACTCAGGGCCCCGCCCCCGACGTTCAGGAAGACCCCGAGGGTTTTGACTTGAGGCGGGACGGTGCGCAGTGTCTCGCGGCTCCCATCGTACACCGCGCAAAAAGCGGGGCCCCGTCTCTCAAGCCACCAGCCGCCACAACCACCCAGTGGGCTGACGCCTGAGGGACACAAACTCAATACATGAGCATCGTATGAATGCTGATCAGACGTAACGTTACATACACTGAGATTGAAACCGAAATGTTCTTGTATGTGCACTGTCCCTGGTAGATAAATATGTATTGATCTGCTGCCTCTACTATGAATTATCCAACCTCTCATCTTCATGTCGCTTTACAAATCTTGGAACATGATACATCTGAAATTTGGTCCCTTCCATCCGGCCACCTTTTGTTGTTAAAAGTGTCTCGCACCTGCAATCTCTCTCCTATCCACCAGGGGGCGACTCCTCTGGTCCTATAACAGTCTATGAGGAAATGCCTGCTTCTCTCTCGATTTATTCCCTCAGTAAACTTCGTAAACATGAGCTCATGGTCTCAGTCTCTAGTTTCAAGGCTTCTTCAATACAACATGATGTTCATTTAGTACATTATGTTCCATTCAGAGTAAAATATACCAAAAAGCAGGGAAAGGCCACCTTGTGATTGACAGAGCTGCTTGCCCAGCTGGAGACCTCTTTTATTGTTGATTTCCTAAAAACCTGAAAGGTGATGCCTTGTGTCCTTTTAGATGTATATGCAGATTACTGTGCGCTTTTCTGTGAATAAATGCAGTTTGGAGCACATATCGTTGTTTTGAGCTTAGCAGAACGGTAACATGTCGTTCAGGGTTAGATGCACATTACCTTACACTTTAAATATATTGTCAACAGGGTTTATTTTGTACTGTCAACACCATGTTCTAATTCATCTAGTTTATAGTTTCCTAAAATCAAGATACAACGGATTAAGTTACACATTTCTTAATGTTTTCAAAGCTGCTATGTGTCAATTCTTCATATTTCAAACAAACAAAACCATTTTTTAATAGCGCGCGCGTGTGTGTGTGTGTGTGTGTGTGTGTATACATGTGAGTGTGCGTTGGAACAAGCACAGTCCTGCTGACCAACAGTACGGGTCTCTGGAAGCAATAAGCCGGCTGGCAGCCCACCAACCGAAACAAAGAGGAGGAGCTCTCACCGATCCTGTAGACGGAGCTGTTACAGACGTCCACCTCCCAGTAGTACTGTCCTCGTGCAATGACCACGTCGCCGCCGACCTGGGGCAAGGGGTCAAAGGTCCTGGATCTCCTGGCCTCGTGGCCTTGAAGCAGACTGTCTCCCTGGTAGGTGACGGTGAGGGAGGAGTTGGAGAGAACAAGGGACGGAGGGACATTTGAAGCGTCCAGAGTGAAACGTAGTCCTGCGATAAAAGAGACCAGAGGGCAAAGCACACAATCAATATCTCGTACACATTTAAGTGTGTATTCATCTAAAAGATTGAGCGTCATGAGTCCTGACCCGAGACGGACCGCTCCATCTCCTCCTCGCGTAGGTCTACATCGCCATCCACTGGTGCTGCCGAGTAACTGGCAGCATCAGAGCCTGAAGGGTGAAACCAGAAGAGTCTGCCCGATTCTGCAGTTTTTCATCTTTACAGATGGAAAGTTTGTCCCTAAGAGGACATCGGTACACTCACCATGTAAGCAGCTGGGCTCTGTCGCGCCACTCGCATCGCGGCAGTGTGAGATCCCCTAAGTACAGAGATTCAAAATGGTTAAAGGAATATTGATACCTTACATTTGAATCCCTTATATTTCTTGCATATTTTAAACATATATTGCAACTAGTACATAATTGTCTTGCGCAATAGCTTCTTTGCAATATGTCTACAAAGCGTCACGACGCGCGTCACCACACGTATTCAAATCTCTACAGACCGCTCTTCTTACTTTGTGTATTTCCACCTGCACATGTTGCACGTGACTTTGATCTTCAGACGGTCTCTGAAGACCCAAAGACCCAAGACCCAGAAGGTTGGGATGCTTTGGGAGACAGGACGTGGCAGATGACCAGGTCCGGCATGGCAGCTCCACAGGACATTGGCAGTACTGGCACGGCACCAAGCAGGCCGCCGGGGTGACGGTGCGCTGACCACCAGACCGGCCAGTAGACCGACCACCAGACCGACCACCAGACCGACCCGTAGACCGACCTGATCTTGTCCCCTGCGCGGCGGCTATGCAGTGGGCACACATGGGGTGAGAGCACGGCAGTAAGAGGACGTGGTCGTGCCCCCCGCTGAAGGCGGGACACAGAGGAAGCTGCCGGTGTCGGTCTTCTTCATCATCGGACTTCACTGTTTCCACACCCGGAAGCTCCTGCTCAAACACCCCAACACTTGAATGCATTTTTCAAATACGGCTGCTTTGTGGACTTTCTTGGATGTTGCCTTGCGAGCAAAGTCAGCAAAGTAAAGCTCTTTGTCCACATGTCGCCTTAGAAAAAGCCCCAAATCCACATGTTTATTCTCCATATGTAGCTGCCATCCTCTGGCCTCAGTCCCCGTAGAAGCAGCTTCCATTCACCCAGAAAAGGACGACATCTTATTGTCCTGGTGTCCTTTTGCCGGAGAATCCCAAAGGCGTTCCAGTGAGTGCAGACGGTCCGCCATGGCAAAAAACAGACGGCTGAGCGCTGTGGAGCAGATAAGAAACCCTCCCGTTGCTTAAGCGTCCGCTCTGTCCCCGACTACCGTGGACGGTGAAAAAGGTGGAATAGCCTGAGAGCAGATGAAAGACACAGAGCGGAAGAGCGAGAGGACGGGAGCGAGTGAGAGAGAGAGGAACCCGGCCACTCTTTGCTTGGTGTTGCCATGGTAATGGCTCTTCCCTCAGAGACGCACAATGGGCAGATAATGCGGCACTTTGAACCCTCGTGCACGCATGCACACACAACGGGCTCAATACTGCCACGGTCACGAGCCAGACATAAACCCTTCTGTGACGACACATCCCCCCCCCCCCCCCCCGTCCATCAGCACCAAATCTTTCCCGGCTCTTATAAATCCCGGTTGGCGAGAGGGAGACCGCTCATTGTCCCCCTTGGACTTGTTTACAAAGCAAGAGGCTGTATCTGAGGTCAGAGCGGGGAGGGCTCTCATATACTACAATTGTAAAGAGACTATGGGCTCATGGGAAGTTCCACATCTGGTTCTTTATTTCCCTCACAGCTGGATCTGGATGAGTCATGTCAGGAGCTCGAGATGAACCAAGTTAAAATACATGTCTACAGACTTTACAAAACAAATCCCCAGCTTCATAGCAAACGCATTTAGTTTGTGGCTATGAATAAATCGGGAAATAGTCATTTTCCAACATAACACGATGATACAAAATAATTTTGTAGGATACCTGAAAATTCCAGTGGATTATCAAGCCAGCGGTGAGAGGTGTTTCCCCCCATGGAAACCCAGGGAAACACAAAGCCCTCTATTACGTTTGGAAGGAACAAATATTGAACTTTCACAGAAGCTTTGATGGTAACGGCCCCCCGCTGTTACTCGGAAATGGCTCACCCATTACTGGAACGGAGCCAAGAGGAGCAGGGAAATCTCTGGATTGGGATAAAACAAAAGGAAGGTGCCACAATAATCAGATTTTCTCATCAGTTTTCGACAGAGAAGATTAGAGTATTCTGCTGTAGGTTGTTCTGACCAGTCCTGTCTGAGCTGTTTCTACCCCTTGATTTGTAATTAAAGTTGGTGGTATTGCTTTTAAACAAATGCAACCATAAACACAGTAATACTAGATATCCATATTGCCCTGAAAGCAACTTGTCCATCACAAGTTGACCTCGCCCTAAAGCGCTGCCTGCTTCATGGTCTCTAAATGGACGATACTTCCCTATATGAACACCCTGCTGTATTGAAGAAGACTTGAAACTAGAGACTGAGACCAAAAACTCATGTTCACAATGTTTACAGAGGGAATAAATCAAGAGAGAAGTCGAGTTTCTCAAAGACTTCTATGAGGAGTCGTTCTGATGTTCACAAATCGACCAGCACCAATAAGCAAACAGAAAAAGTCACAGAGGCTCTTCTGAACACAGTTGAGCATCTGTTAGGGTTAGGGTTGCTAACATCCGCGTGTTGTATCTGGGTTAGTCTTGTCCGGGTCTACGTGGTGCCTCTCTTGTCCTATTTGCGTTCAGCATCCAGAGTCAAACATTAACTTTGTGCTAGATCAAATATACAACCGGCCTGCTCCAAAGAGCTCGCAGTGCACGTCACCGCTTGACTCATGACACACAAGTTTATAAAAACCAACCACTCAAAGAGAAAGCAGCTCAATGGGGTCCTCACCTGAGCTCTGATTCTGGACTTTGAGTTTTTAACTCGAAAAAATGGGGTTTCTTCTGGACACAGAATGATTTTTGAGTGTCTGTGTTCTGAGCACATTTTCTGCAAAGCTGAATGGAAGAAGGATGCAGGTTGACAAACCACAAATGACGGCCACCATGCACCCAGCATCGGGCTATGGCTTATAGCGGTGAGTGAGCCTCATTCCCCGGACTGCAGCTCTTAGACATTAGGGATACCGGTGTCACTGTTGGTTTATATAATACTTACAGCGGTGTGAATGTATCGCTTGGATGTCAAACACATTGGCGCCTAATGGAGAGATCGTGTTAATGTTTGGAATAATGCTGCGCTATATTGCCTAGATCCATTACCATATCCTACACGCTTTGTTAGCAGCACGGAATAACTCTATAAAAGGACAAGAGAGAAGTTTCAACACCTACGTAATTCAGTCCCAGCTTTCACAACACCAGTGTTGTTAATGAAAGGCATGTGGGTAGGGAGTTAAAAGCCGCCAGCAGGGGGGATGCAACACATGAAATTCACACTACCTCGCAGGAGCTGGACGAGGGACAAATAAAAAGGAAGGTCGGGGGGAAATGAAGAAACAAATGCCGAAAGACAAAAGCCAAGTTGCATCCAGATGGCCGATGGTCAGTCATCTCCACCGTGTGCCCCTCTAGGGGTCCTGCTGCTGCTGATTGGAGGGATTTGCTCTGTCCAGGCTGGACCCACCGACTTTTGGTGCAACCGTCAAGTCAGAAAAACTATGGAGAAAGAGATCGTGGGCCTGAGGGCGGACATGGTGAGGAATTGTGCAATAATATTGATTTCATTCATGAAACAAAATAGACGCGTATCTGTCTAAAAACAGTGCAACAAGAGCTTTTTCTAATACATTTTTCTAATTTTTGTGTGGAAAAAAGGTTGACTTTCTTTGTTGGTTTATGAGTGTGACAGCGCTGTGTACTCAGGTAGCCTGCGTGGGTGCAGACACTCTGGACTCTCCTGTACAGCTGCCGTGTGTTATGTTGCACGCAAGCGAATGGGAAAATAAAACGGTAAGTTCCTAACGCCGACGCAGGTACACATACTTTCACTTTCTCACTCATACATCTGGCACTCAGTTGCAAAAGACCAACACCTGGTATGAGTATCTTTTTATATCTTTATCTTACCATCGGTATCTTTTTTTTACTCTCACTTGTCATGAAATACAAAAAACTACAAAAGTAATTTTAAAGTTTAGATGTACGGTACCTTGGAAAGCCCAAGTGGCGACCTCTGGCTTTGAAGTTTCTTTATTCTGCATTCTGTCCAGCAGGGGGCGACTCCTCTGGTACTGTAGAAGTCTGAAAAAATGACTCTACTTCTCTCTTGATTTATTCCCTCAGTGAACATTGTAAACATGAGTTTATGGTCTAAATGTCTAGTTTTAAGTCTTCTTCACTACAGCGTGATGTTCATGTAGTAAACTTTGGTCCATGTAGAGTCAAACAGACCGGGACGCATTTATCCTTCTCAGTCCAGTTACGGTAACTTCCTGTTCTCCGGCTGTGAAAACACAAGATTGGCGACAAAAATCTGAGCAGTGGACGTCGCCATGACTACGTCCACTTCTCATAATGAGTCTGGCAGCACGGCCACTCAGGCTTGGTGATGAGATTACGGCCCGGGCCCTGCAGTTGCAACGCCGTCAGCGTGACCGGTCAGATAGGATCAGCTGTGATGTCATCGATATCGCACGCTCCCTGTTTTATTCGACGGGCGAACGACCGCTGAGTCTATGATGCTCAAGCAAAAGGAGTCAGTAAACGAGCTGGGCCTCCTCTACTGAAACACTGTTATCAAACCAGCCGACTTGATTTCGCAGGAACTGTGTGAATGTTTCGTGTGTGTGTTTGTGTGTGTGTGTGTGTGTGTGCCTTCTGCAGCTCCAGCAGAAGAGTGCAGAGGTCGTCGAGGCCCTGCGGGTGTTTTGGGACGGCGTGCGGGTGGCGAAGAATCAGTCCACATCGGAGTGTCAGACCTCGCTGCTGGAGAAACTGGAGCGTCACATGGCGAACTACGTGGCCATCGTCAGCCGGCTGCAGATGCAGGTACACACTACACAAACATGCACTGATGCATATTCACAGCTACCTGTGCCTGCGAGAAGATGGAGAGAGTTAAACGATAATTGGGGAATATGGATTTTTAGGACATTTTGGTTGCGTGGAAGGTAAAATGTCGAGCGGCTTAATCCAAGATAGAGACAGCCAAAAAGGCGAACGTGCGGCCCCCAAACCATGATACCTAAATCCACTTTTTGGTTCTTCTCCCTCAGCCCCGAATCCCATCATCTGAAGCGTGACCTCCTCGTCCACCACGTGCCGAATGTCTGTATCGGTCACGTGGAGATTCACTGGCGTTCTCTAAATGAATTCTTCTCCTGGCCCCTTACAGAGCGGCGCAGGGACGCCGCCTCCCTCTTCGCCACGGAGCTGCTCCAGCGTGACCTCCACCAGTGAAGTGCTGAAACAGTACGGGAACCTACTCCGGGGGAAACTGGAACGCCTTGCCGCCGACCTCCGGGACAAAGCCCCCGAGTCGCGTCAACGGTCAACCGCGGCTGAAGGACGATGCGGCTAACTCGGGCGAAAAGGAACGCAGTTCGTTTAATGCTGCCGAGCCGCTCGGCTGACCTCGGCTGGCGCATCGAGGACCAGGAGGGGTCCCGGTGAGGGAGGATCCGGGGGCCGGGTTCGGAGGACAGAACGGCGTGAAGTGATCGCAAGGATCCGGGGTCTCCCTCAGACACCTCCCTGAGGTCTCCCTGAGACCACTCGGAATTGAAAGTGTCCAAGTCTACAGTATTTTAAAGTGCGTCAGAAGCTCCTTGAAGATGCAGCTTGAGGGCCCTGGTCACAAAGCTCAACTTCCTTCCCAACAGTATTCCAGTCTTCTTCGTCTTCAGCCAGTAGTGTTACTGAGTAATGGATGACCTACGACCTCACCGTCAGAGTACGACAACAACGACTCATTGTCCTTTTGAAGCAGTCATTGCGCCCAAAAATGTCCAATGTCCCCTCTAGATGTCGGGGTCGTTGTGGCGCAGGGGGTAGAGCGGGTGCGCTGGGAAACGCAAGGTTGGTGGTTCAAGTCCCAGCTGCCCCATGTCTCAAGTCAAAGTGTCCCTGAGCAAGACGCTCCCTCAGCAAATTGCTCCCCGGGCAAAATGTATAAAGCCATGGGTTTAAAGTGTAAGTCGCTGTGGATAAAAGCATCAGCTAAATGACCTGTAATGTTTATTAAAAGATCTACTCTGTTACTATATATGTATATTATAGACTGTGCTCGTGTGACTGTTTAATATGTTATTTATTTACTGAGATGGACTTACGATGTTTGTGAAAGAAACACAATGAATGTATCAATAATATAATTTAAATACAATGTAGTTTTATTATTTTTTTGTGTATTCTGAAGTGTTTAAAAAACAACAAAATGGATTATCAAAGTAAAAACATGTCTAGATTTTGAAGTAGTTGACTGCAAAGTCCTCAGAGGTCTGTAGAGTACAGGGCTCTGATTGGCTGTGCCAACATGGTCACATGACCCATATGCGACAGGCCAAAGAGTAATCTGGGAAATATGAGAAAAGAAATATTACATTTTCAAGCTAGACGTTGACAGCCATGATAAGACTGGTAACCGCAGTGTGTGTCTTGATAAGTATTTCCCTTATGTAAGTATTAATATCTCTACCGACATGTCTGTGGATTATATTGGTAAATTATTATAAATTCCTATAGGTTTTCAATGTTTGTATTGTGTTTTTCACCCTAGCCTATTATGTTAGTAAAGAGCAACCGGAGTTACCGTTACCGTTTTTGGTAAATCTTGAAATGTATTATTTTTCCCATTCTATATTACATAACTTGATCTCACTATCAAGCAACTTTATAGTGTTACTCTCTATATATTTATATCTAAGAATCTTGTGTTTTCTAAATACGTATATACATACATGCATAATACATGTGTAATAAGTATTTTTTGAATTACAACCGAATCTTTTTGTGTATTTTAAAACATTTTTTATTGTATTTATTTATTCAAACCAGGTTATTCTTGTTTTAATAACGAACCTTGACCGGGCTTGTCAGCTGCTTTTATTCTGGTAGTTACAACCGGAAGCTCCGCGTCTAATTACGGCGTTGCTACGTCACATGACTTGTCTAACGGCGCTAAGATGTGAGAGCCGGAGAGGCTGAACATGGACACTCGGAGCGGACTTTTGACGCACTTTATTGAGCACTCCACGTGAGGGCTGCTCGTGTCGGCGCGGCGGTTTAACTCGCCGGGTTCATCTCAAGTGGTTCCGGTCGTCATTTCCTAACTTTAGCGATGTAACGGTGGCCGGAAAACACTTTTTCTTCGGTCGTCGTCGCGATGGCGGAGCGGACTCCTCTCCTCCACTACCGCCTCTCCACCAGCGTCAATGAATCCGAGCCGCGGTCACCCGAGTCCGGCCAGGCCCCGGCGCGTCAGCCGGGCGGCCCGCAGCGGCAGAGGTCCGCCCCGCAGCCGCAGCCGAAGAAACTCTCCGTCTTCTTCGGGGTGGTGATCCCCACCTTGCTGTCGATGTTCAGCGTGGTGGTGTTCCTCAGAATAGGTGAGCGCGGGGGATGGAGGGGCTCCATCGCCCGGCTGCGCCGAAGTCCATTCAGGAATCTGACGTTTTAATGCCTCCTTGTTTGTCGGTGAAGGTTTGGGGTTTGTAACCAAACTATGACCGTTTTCTGTCGCACTTGTTGAATTCGGTGTAGATAAATACACTTTTACACAAAACTAACCCAACCGTACTTATTTTTACCCTCTTGCTGCAGATTCCATCAAACGGATGTTTGTTTTTCTTTTCACTAAATGTACCGAAACACTGTCAAACAGGGCACGTGGTCTTCAGCTGGTTCACGTTTAAATAATTCTTTCTTCTTTAGTCCTAAATTAAGACAAACTCCATTAACAGTTCTGAGATGTGACGTTAAAGGTTTGAGGGGAACCACGTGACTGTATCTTCGTTCGTCACGTGTGACTCCTTTCAAATACATAAACGTTTATAAATCAAAACGAGGACAAAGGTTGATTTTATTGAAACGAAAGTTCCGCTTGATGACGTTCAGTTAAATAGTGAATGTTTAAAACTGAAACCACGTCTCCCTCATAATTCCCCTCATTGGTTCAGTGGTGTTCACGAGTGGCCTTTGGATTAAGAGGATTTATTAGAGGGGTTTTAGAGCTGATGTTTTTCACCTCGTGTTTCATACGCACCTGCACTCAAAACCAGGGTCCTATTTGCATGTTTTACTTCCTGTTTTAATCCTTTGTGCATTGTTTGATTTGATGAATTATTGGCTAAAGGAAGCGCATCGCTCTGTGAAATGTCATCCAGCAGTAACATCCAGCTTCTTTTGTTTCCATATAATACCTTTAACGTCTCTCACGTCCTCCAGACGTTTTCATATTATGTGCTTCGTATTCAAGTTATGAATCACTTTCTCCCGCAAAGGTTAGTTTGTTTTCCTTTGTTAGGGATGAGCTCGGAACATTTATTTCACGCAGCAACATTCTCCTCAAAGTGTTATTACCAGCGTGAATGTGTAACATGCTGCTTGTCACGGGTCACGACGGTTATCGATGCGGTCTGGCCTTCATTCGGAGGAGAGATTTCAGCGTTCCGCTTTCCCCGCGACGAAACGTGCGCGCGAAGCTGTTAGTCACGTTGTCATGACAATTCACACATTCCTCTTTCCCGCTGTCGCAGCGCTCCTGAGGCGAGCCGCTGCAGTCGGATCTCCTGAAATGTCTCACCTCCTTTTTCCCTCCCGTGTGACGTCCAGGCAGCTTGGTGCTGGAGTGTTTTACCTCCATTAAGTTGTTTCTCTACTCCGTCTCTCAGCCCCGACCCCCCCCTCTCTGCCCCCCCCCCCCAGTCTCGTGAGACGTCAGCTGCTAAGCAGTGCGCACACAGAGCGCACACACACACACACACACACACACACACACAGTAGCTGTGTGTGTGGAGTGGCCCCTCCACCCAGGAACCCGCCGTGGTTTCACTGTGGATGTGAAACCTCGGTGAGGGTTCCAGGTGTACAGGTGTAGGGGAGAGGAGGAGCTTCTGTGCATCGGCTCAATGTGGCGTTAAATAAAGCTTCATCGGGGGAATAAAACAAATTTATTGCTGTATTATTTGATTGCTTTCTGAATATCAGACGTTACCAGTCAACGTGCACAAACAAACGGATTATACAACGTTATATTTATGTTGCAGATCAGTCTGTGGGAGCACATTGCTGCAAAAACCTGGTTTGGGTTCATGCAGCAAAATGGATTGTTTCTGAAATAATAAAAAATATGATAGAAAACCGCGTTCGCTTTTTGTCCTAATCCTTCCCTTTGTTGCTTTGTGTGTGTGTGTGTGTGTGTGTGTGTGTGCGCGTGTGTGTGCGTCCGACCAGGATTCATGGTGGGCCAGTGCGGACTGTACCAATCTATCGCCATGCTCCTGGTGGCCTACTTCATCATCTGCATGACGGTGCTGTCGGTCTGCGCCATCTCCACCAACGGAGCCCTGGACGCCGGGGGGGCCTACTGTATCCTCACGCACACGCACACGCACACACACACACACGCCGTCAGATGACACGTGTGTCTGATGTAGCATAGTACAGGCCAGCCTGTTGGGAATTTGGTAACTGAATGCGTCCCCAGTTAGTGGACTGGCCTTCATCCTCCTCCTCGTCCTCATCATCGCTCCCTCGCACGCGTTGCGTTATCGCGTCCCATCAGACGATTCTATAAAAGTGATTCATTCATTCACGGCTCGTTACAGATTAACTCGCTGTTGTGCTGCCAGCGGGGACTTTACCCACGCGTGCTCGCGTCCTTTGGCCTCTCGCGGGTTGTTCTTGTTCTTTTTAAAAATAGGCGTCTGCTCTCGCGCCGCCCGCCGGAGGCCAAAGGTAACACCCCGAAAAGCTCCCGTGGGGAGGACATTTTTTTTAATGGAAAATAGACAGCCCCCCCCCCCCCCCCCACCCCCTCATGGCGTGGGGGCGTCAAGCTGCCAGACCCCGTTAGCGGTTAGCGTGGCACAAGAGTGGAAATGCAGAAGTCCAACCTGAACACACCCCCCCCCCACCCCCACAGACATGATCAGCAGAGCGCTGGGCCCCGAGTTCGGCGGCAGCATCGGCATCATGTTCTTCCTGGCCAACGTGTGCGGCAGCGCGCTCTACGTGCTCGGCCTGGTCGAGGCCATCGTGGCCACCTTCGGCGCGCCGGAAGGTGAGTTTCATTCCCACGCCCCCCGTGAGGCTCAGTTCCTGAGCAGCTCCTTCTTCTCATCCGCCCACGTGTCTCCCCGCTCGCGACCCCCAGACGGCTCGGTGGCCACCTCCCCCTTCCAGGTCCTGCCGTCGGGCTACTGGTGGTCTCTGCTCTACGCCACGGGCGTGGCCCTGCTGTGCCTGCTGGTGTGCCTGGTGGGGGCCCACATCTACGCCAAGGCCACCTTCCTCATCTTCCTGGTGGTCATGTTCGTCCTGGGCACCATCTTCGTCAGCTTCTTCGCCGTGGACCCGCGCGCCATCGTGCTGCCCGGCTCCGCCTTCAATCCGCCGGCCAATGGGACGAGCCCGGCCTTCCCCGCCACCGGCAACTTCACCGGCTTCAAGCTGGACACGCTGCTGGGGAACCTGGGGGGTAAGCTGCAGGCGGCCCTTTCATTCCCATCGAATCGTTGGTTCTTTGGCTACGGTTTGAGTTTCACGTACGTTGGTTAGCGCTGAAACACAAAGCGCTGCACGACCTGAACGCGCAGGTGGGCAGAAGTATGTTGCTCTAATTGATTGGCCGGTAAAATGCACGTTGTGTCTGCTCTCCGCTTCTCCGTGTCCACGGAAATCTATTCAATTACTCGGGTATGTTTGCAGGGATTTGTGTCCGAGCACATGATCGCTAAGCTAAGTGGAGTAACTCGGGCACACATGACAACCATTACACACGTTACACACGTTACACACGTTACACACATTACACAGGTCTGAGCAGAGGGGGCTAAAGACACGGTCGCTTTCCGAGATGGAATCCGATTGCATTCTGAGGAGCAGGAAATACGACGGCTCCTGTTCATTTCATTTATTCTCCTCCAAACGCTCCTACGGTTAAATGAACCACAGTACTGTTGTCCTCATTGGGACTGTGAGTGGGCGTCGGCTCTGAGAATGCCGATGGAAGCACAGCCACGCCGACGTGTCCGCTGCTGTCTCCTCCCACAGCCGACTACGCCCTGGACTACACCACCGACACCGTGATGACCTTCGCCACCGTCTTCGCCGTCATGTTCAACGGCTGCACCGGCATCATGGCCGGCTCCAATATGTCAGGTATGTGAGGCCGGCTCCTGTGTGTGTGTGTGTGTGTGTGTGGGTACACGCAGTAAAGCCATCTTCTCCACCAGGTGACCTGAAGAACCCCAGCTACTCCATCCCCCGGGGCACCATCACCGCCGTCATCTTCACCTTCATCATCTACAACCTGCTCAGCATCCTGGTGGCCTGCTCCTGTGACCGGTGAGGGTCACGCACACACACACACACACACACACACACATATTCTTTGATGTAGTATTAAATTCATTGTTCCCGTATCAGTGACCTCAAACGCTCCTGTAGCACATTCGGTTCCATCTCCCACATCTGACCTCAGTGAGGGTCCTTGGCCTGCGAGGGGGCGGGGCTAAGGTTGGTGCCAGCCCCCACAGAGAGGGGGGAGGATTCAGAATATACATTTAATTGTTTGCTCACATTAGATTAATAAAAATACTTTTTCCATGAGATATTTTCTGAGCTCTAAATCTTCCAAATATCACTTCTAACCCAGAGGGGTTATAACAGATGTTTACTTTATTCCCTCCATCATTGAGGAAAACATTTCTGGAGTAGAAGAAGTGATGAGACACAAAGATAAATCGGAGCTACCTCATGCTAACACAGTAGCATCCGGGATATTTAATGTTAATGGGCTGCTGGTGCACAAAGATGATGTAGCCTGTTTGGATTGCTCTGGATGTTCATGATCCCTTTTTACAATTGTTTCAATTCAGCAAAACGTTATCTAACTTTGTGAGACACTTTAAGCTGAGCTAACGCTCAAACACTGAACACCGAATATTCCACTGGAATTCTGTATTGTGCCACGTGTACTTGCGTTTACAACGTGTCAAAACTGCTCCAAATATTGATACAAACCATCGCGTAGCCAAGCCGTCCTCCACCCAAGTGTTAGCACGCAGCTAACAGTCCGTCCTCGAGGGAGCAGTCGGGTCTCGACCTCGATGTTGCCTCCTTGTATTTCTTTGCGCTCCCTCCATCCGCCTCTTTCTCCCCGTCTCTGTCTGGGTGCCAGAGTTCGGTATCGGCGCAGCCGCAAGGCGCTAAACTGACATGACAAGGCTACAAGAGAGCATCAATAGGGCCGTCATTCACCCGTCTCTCCGTCCTCCCAGTGTCCGCCCACCACACACACACGCACGCACACACACACACACACACACACACACACACACACTGAGCTCTGCCTGTCTGACCAGAGACGTCTGCGTCTGTTGTCGATGCTTAAAGTAGTTTACCTGGAAGAAACCGAGTGTTTGGAAATCATCAAAGGTCGGAGACCATTCATCCTCCAGCCAACCGGTCACACACACACACACACACACACACACGGAGGAACTTGTCTAATGTGTGTTGAGATTGAGTCACGGTTGCAACTTTATACCGACAATGAAAAACACACAACAAACTTTAACAAGGTAAATACCAACAGCTTGTGACACATAAAGAATTTGTAACACTAATAATTGTACACTCATAAAAATGACCCCACCGAACTGCATGCTGGGTAGAGCTCACAACAAGAAGTAACTCTGTTGCTACATGAAAACACGTAAAGGGCGATACAGGAGAACAACAGAGGTTGAAAGGAAAACTGGGCCTCTCGTCCGTGGACACGTTGGCGCTTTCATCGGGCCCTCCCGTCCCTCCCGTCTTATCTGCGGTTCACTTCGGGGTTGTATGTTTTATGAGCGTTATCTAACAGGAGGAATGTCGAGTCATCTCTGAAGGTGACGATGTGACACAAAGGACTCGTCGAAGGGTTTTTAACGGGACAAAACCAGAGGGAAGAACCGCATTTCTTCCCTCGCCAGCAGCGTCCGTTCACCGAACCAACTGATGGGATCCGGAGACGAGCTGTTTGTGGGAGCCGCTGAATAAAAGGGCCGTTGTGTTGATATTATTGTGCAGATCATGGATTCAAACCTCCGACTTCTTCCGCTGAAGCCACAAAGGTCGTAAATAAAAGTGTGTTAAACCACTTCAGCTCCTTCGCTGTCTGCTTTCACTTCATCAAAGTTCGTTGTTTTTTCCTTTTCCCTCGGTTGTACTTTAGCTCCCCCCCCCACAGAGAGGAGGGGGGGGGGGGGTAGTTACAGCGTTAAACACAGTAGAAGTGGCTGTACGGGCTGTAGTTGCGTGTGACATCCAGAAGGTGGCAGTCACGCTCTGTAGCCCTTTGGCTCCTCTGAACTGCTGTTTGTTCGGTCGGAGGCTCGATTCTTTTTTGGACTCACGGAGCCTCTCAGACATTCGATTCGCCGTAAAAGAAGCTCAGTAATGCAACTCGTTGACGGGACTTCTGAGGTGCACTTATTGTTTACATCGCTAACCCCTCCCTGTATATCCGGTCTCCGTTAATAGAGCTTCCATATATTTCATTTTTTTCTTCCGCTTGGGGAGATTAGGGGGGAGGGGGGGGATCTATTAACCTTACGTGACCAGCTAGCCGGCCGTGACGGATTGGCCTGTCGAGGCTTCTGATTGTGTCTATGTGTGTGCAGTGCTGTGCGTCAGTGACCTGGAGGCTAATCCGCCCAGCTTTTGTATTAATAACCGACTTGATAATTATATTAATTTTGAATCTGCTGGGCCTTCTTCTTTGTAGTGCTATCTCTGACATGCAGCCTCATGGACGTGTGTTCCTCTGCTTCTGTCTCTCTCACACACACACGCACACACACACACACACACACACACGCACACAGACGCACTCACCTCGCTTTTTCCAGAAAAGTTGCCTCCATCGTCAGCATTTTTTCTCTCTCCATCCTTCAATATGAAAACCAAACATGGCGTATTTGTGCTGTGGCTCTTTTCTGGCCGTCTATTTCCATCCGTCTGTTTTAATATCCTAACTCTTTTTTAGCACTTTCTTCCTGTCTTCAGCCTCATCTCGTCAGCCTCGTCTTCAGCCTCATCTCCCACCACCCCGCAGCCCCCCAGGAAAAGGAGGTTCTTTTCCCTGCGTTGTCCCCTTAGGAAGAGGTTTAGTATCCTGCCTGAAGTCAGAGCGATTTAAGCAACACTGATGGGGTGAAGTTTACCGGGTAAATGATTCTGAATCACACAGGTGACGTTCTTTATGTCAGCAGCTAACAGAGCGGAGAGGAAGCGTAGTCCAGAGGAAGCGTAGTCCAGAGGAAGCGTAGTCCAGAGGAAGCGTAGTCCAGAGAAAGCGTAGTCCAGAGGAAGCGTAGTCCCGAGGAATCGTAGTCCCGAGGAATCGTAGTCCCGAGGAATCGTAGTCCCGAGGAAGCGTAGTTCACAGGAAGCGTAGTTCAGAGGAAGCGTAGTTCAGAGGAAGCGTAGTTCAGAGGAAGCGTAGTCCAGAGGAAGCGTAGCCCAGAGGAAGCGAAGCGTAGTCTAGAGGAAGTGTAGTCCAGAGAAAGCAGAGTCCAGAGGAAGCGTAGTCCAGAGGAAGCAGAGTTCAGAGGAAGCGTAATTCAGAGGAAGCGTAGTCCAGAGGAAGCGTAGTCCAGAGGAAGCAGAGTCCAGAGGAAGCGTAATTCAGAGGAAGCAGAGTCCAGAGGAAGCAGAGTCCAGAGGAAGCAGAGTCCAGAGGAAGCAGAGTCCAGAGGAAGCGTAATTCAGAGGAAGCAGAGTCCAGAGGAAGCGTAGTCCAGAGGAAGCGTAGTCCAGAGGAAGCAGAGTCCAGAGGAAGCGTAATTCAGAGGAAGCAGAGTCCAGAGGAAGCGTAATTCAGAGGAAGCAGAGTCCAGAGGAAGCAGAGTCCAGAGGAAGCGTAATTCAGAGGAAGCAGAGTCCAGAGGAAGCGTAATTCAGAGGAAGCGTAGTCCAGAGGAAGCAGAAGTCCAGATAGAAGGTATAATTCAGAGGAAGACAGAGCCCAGAGGAAACTTTTTTCCAGAGGAAGCAGAGTCCAGAGGAAGTTGATTGTGCAGAGCGGAGGGGGAGCAGTCGCAAACATAATGAGAAACTCATCGAGACTCCTGGTGTGTGTATTGTAACCACAATGACACAGTTTGAAAAGAATCAGAATCAGGTTTGTACTCCAGTAACCCCCCCACACACAACCCCCCCTCCTCTTGGCATTATCGGCCCACAGCAGCGTTCTTGGCGAACCTTTCCTCCTCTCCTTGTCTGTCATCCATCCATCCACACAGCCCTTCTCCCTCCTTTTGTTACTCACCCCCCCTATCTGTCTGCTGCAGATGTTCCAGCCACCCCACCTCCTCTCCCCCATTTTTATTTTTTCGTCTTCCCTTACTGCTGTCCCCATTTGTTTTTCGAGGTAACAATGGTGGTGGTACAGGCCAAGTAGGGAGGGGAGGGGGGAGGACACGGGCAGACTCTGAAGAATCTAGAAAAGGGAGGATTTGGGTGACAGGTGAGAGGTGTAGATATTTGAGACGTCGGGTCGGCAGGTGGTGTCCATGAACGAGACGAGGCAGTTTATTAGAATTGGTGATTAGCTCACGGGTCTTAAAGGGGAAGCGCCAATTAGTTCATCTGGTTCCACACAAGCAGCGATGAGGGGGGGGGGTTCTTCTGTCCCTCACTTTTACCCTGAGATCAGTGAGAATCCTCCTCACTCCTCCATTGAGATCCTTCATCACTTTGACAAGTGTAAAAATGACCCCCCTGTCAGCCTCACTTCTTGAAGAATTGCGCCCCTGGTGGACATTAGAGACAATGCAGCTTTAACGCACAAAGCACTGGCCTCACTTTTGACTTCAGATTGTGTTGATGATGATGATGATGATGATGATGGACTAAACCAGATGCTGCAGATGAACCGAGGAGAGAGGAAGACTGGAAGCTGAGAGAAGAGATGAGATGAGAAGAGATGAGATGAGAAGAGGGAAAAATGTAACTCAAATATTTTGGTATGTGAGCAGCTGAGTGGCGATGGAATGACTGCAGATCCTTGTAGGGAAGGAGAGAGAAGTGTGTGTGTGTGTGTGTGTGTGTGTGTGTGTGTGTGTGTGTGTGTGCGCGCACAGAGGCCTTGTTAGTTATTGATCCCATTTAATAATCCTTTACCACAGTCTACTCCCCTGAGAGCACTTAACTCCCCCCTCCCTCCCTGTCGCTCTCCCTTTGCCTCCCTCTCCTAAACGAGTCCGTATCTCCTCCTCGGCCACAAGACCCCAGGAGGCCGAGGTGGGAGCTACAGGGGTCACAGGGGTCGAGGTCCACGTGTGCAGGCCGAAGGACGTTTGGACTGGTGCATTCCGCTAACCGCCTCTAAATGTTCATCCGTATAGTTTACACTCCACTGGGGATGAGAGTTTTATTAAAGTTTAAATATTTATTGTAGGTGTGGAACGGGGGAAGGAGCAGTGTGAACCTCTCGCCTGCTGATGTCAGGCATGAAAATCCCTCACCTTTCGGCGAAATTCGCCGTTTTGAAACCAAAATAGGTGACCTACGTGAATCGTGTAGATTCAATGAGGTTTTTTTGGGGGGGGGTATTCATATTCAGTGAACTGTGAACAGGGTGAGTGATGGTTTCAATCATTTTAATATTTCCTGGTGTATCTAAGTTAAGTTAGCCAGGAGCTTTGTTGACATAGACTTAGCTAACGTTAGCTACAGCTTGATGAGTTGAGTCATTTAACGCGACGTTGGCCAGCTAGCTAAAGCTCTGTTAGCTAACGCTAGCGTTCTTGAGGAGGTAGATGTTGAGGTGAGGGGACCGACGAGGCAGAAGGTGAAGTGCTCCACCGTTCTATCAATAAGCAGACCTGCCAACCTGTTCAAAGTGCGCTGCTACGATTTGTCACTCTAAACTACGCAAACATTTCGCTAAAATTAATTTAGCATGATATGCAATGCAATATAATGCATGACGAGTATTTAATGACTTGTCCCCTATTGGTTGTTGTCAATTCCCCCCTCGTCGGTACGCAAAAAATGATCACTGGGACAAAACCAGTTGAAAACCCCTAGAGGGGTAAAATCCTTCTCACCTTTTCCACCCTTGACCCCTTTTCATGCCTGTGATGTGATGAACAATGACCCAGTGACCTTTGCACACGGGGGGAGACCAGGTGAGGCACGTGATGCTGCAATGAGCACCACGCCGATGTTACCCAGAAGCCCCCAGATCTTCTGGATCATTACACCGGATGAGGAGGGTTCACCTCGCCCTCCCAGGGGCCGAGGCCCGGGGCATGAGCGGGCCCGTGGGTGACGAGGTTTCCGAGCGTGGCGGAGGGGACCGGGGGGGGGGTTGGCCCCGACGATCTTGGCGGGTTCTTCGCTTTGTTTCCTCCTCTGAGCTCTGAACGAGCTCCTTTTAATCCGTCACGCCTTTGTTCCCGTCTTTATTTAGAGGCTCATTTCAGTCCAACGATCTGATCAATAGAGACGACACACAGACACACACACTCTCACACACAGACACACACACTCTCACACACAGACACACACACACAGACACACACACTCTCACACACAGACACACCTCAAGGGACTCATATATAAGCTTTACAGTCATGGTGGAGGACATTTAAGAAATATACAATTTATAAAACAGAATACTTGACCAACAAATGAACACCTCCTCCTCACGCGTGCGCACACGCGCCATTTGTCATCGCTGTCACCCGGTTTGCAGCGGCTTTGTTTTTTAGAGCCGGTTTGGAAATGTCAAGCTTTTCAGGATTTATTTGGCTCCTGCTGCACGTCAGAGAAACTAATAATCAGCCCATAAGTTTTGACCCACATCATCACTCACCACTCACGCACGCACACACACACACACACACATACACACACACACGCTTTCTCATGATTTCTAGCACCTTTTGCCTTTGTGTGTGTGCGCAGCGAACGCAGCGAGACTCCCCTCCAATTGAGTGCCAGCGTATCCGACCGGTGAACAGTTGTTATGAATATGTCAGAGAGTCTGATTACAGCAGCGGCTCATAAACTTTCCACCGCAGTGCACACTCTGCACACGCACGCACACACACACACACAAACAAACCTGCGCGGTGAATAAACAAAGTAGTTGGCATGTCCTAATTTCCAGGGTGACGTTTCTCAGCAGCACCTTTTTGATTTGTGGTAATGCAACAACACGTCTGTGTGCGTGTGTGTGTGTGTGTGTGTGTGTGTGTGTGTTTGCTTCGTCCTGCCACCACGTGAAATGCGCCACACGCTCAGGTCTTTGGAGGGAGGAAACAACACTTAACAGGGCCATGATAATAAGTATTAAAGTCACTGGACGAGAGAGAGACGTTGAAGTCTAATCCCCCCCCTCTAGCTGTGTTATATTGGATAGAGGTGTGTGTGTGTGTGTGTGTGGGGGGGGGTGTGGGGGGGGTTAGCAATCATGCACACCCTGCTGTGGTTTTTGTACTCTGTTCCTTTTTCTCCATATCTGGTACAACATCTCCAACACACACACACACACAACAGGGTCTCATCATTGTGCTCCCGTGTGATCATCACTGCCTCTTCAATCTTGTTCTTTTTCATTGGACACGTTTGTGTGTGTCCCCCCCCCCGCCCCCCCATGGAAAAGCCTTTTGGACCACTTGCTTTGATCTACAGAAATGGATGTAATGACGTGAGGAGTTTAGAGAAGGTGGGAGTCTTCCTCTGCGTTTATGTTTGTGTGTTTGTGTGTACATAAGATAGCAAATGTTTGTGCCGTTGATCCGTAATGATACAGATGGTGTTTGTTGTTGTTTTGTAACTGTTCTGAGGTCAGTTGGAACCAGCACACGTTATATTATGTCTTCAATAGTTATTTATTCAAATGAGGTCACTGAATGGGAGGCCCTATCTGTCAGCTGCTAACGTTAGCGGCTAACGGCTACTAACTACGACGCGTAGAAGCTCTCGGCTGGACCTCCGCGTGGTGGTTGTTGAAATCCTCTCTTGCTTTGTGTCCCGTCTGAACCTCCTCAGGGTCCTTCTCCAGAGGGATTACAGCTTCCTGAGGGACATCAACATCTGGAACCCGTTCGTCACCGTCGGGGTTTATTCCTCCACCCTCTCCGCCGCCATGAGCAACCTGATCGGAGCCTCGCGCATCCTCTACGCGCTGGCCAGGGACGACTTGTTTGGTAGGATGGAGAGTCTTCCTTTATTACCCAGGGTTCTTTGTCCTCATCCAGCGTGTGTGTGTCTGTGTGTGTGTGTGTGTGTGTGTGGTGTCAGGAGGTCCTCTGCGTAGCGATCGGGCGCAGTGGAGACAGAGGACAGGTCATCAGCCGAAGGGTTAACTTAGATGAATCTCTTTAATTAAGACCCAATGGCTGTGGAACCATGAATGTGTAATGTTCTCGTAGGAGAGCGATGAAGCGGTTACTATGACCACACCGAGTGTGTGTGTGTGTGTCTGCCTGTGTGTGTGTGTGTGTGTGTTGCTGCTCACAGCTTCACCTTGTCTGCCTATGCAAACAGAGTGATGGATGCGTCACACACACACACAGGCAGACACACACACACACACACACACACACACACACACACAGGCAGACGTCCCTGTTCCTTCTTCTTCTTTTCTTTTTAAGTCACTAATCTTAACTTCACCCCCCCCGCCCCTCTCCGGCTCTCCTCCATCACTCCGTCTGCTGCTCTCGGCGCATTGATTTCACTTTAAAGTCTCGCAGATTTAATTCCCATCCTTCATCAGCTGTGAAATTTAGCCCCAACCCCCCCCAACCTGTTACCTCAGCCCCTCCCATCTGCCCCCCCCCCCCCCCCCTTGCCAGTTGCTCCTCTCTGGCTGTGAACCTTGGCTGCACTCGGATGACATCATCACGTGGCGTTATGTTAATACGTTCTCTTCCCATAAAGCACACGGCCCGTAAGCTACTGAGGAAAGTTGAGTTTGTCTCCTTCGCCAGGACCCTCCCCCTCCCTCCCCCTCTCCCTCCCTCCCTCGTAATTACACACAGTTTGTCTAAATGTCAGTAGCACGTAAAAGTGTAATGCGGTCGCCGACGCTCCTGCTTCTGTTGCTGTGGGAGACGGCGTGAGACCCGCGTGCGCGTCGCCAGCGAGCTTCCTGTGTAGATCAACAGCGGCTCGTATCTTCTTCTCCACACTGTCATCACCAGGTCGCCTCTTCGGGGCCTCCCTGTTAGTTTTGGGGTTGCGTAACCATGGTAACCGCCGCAAACTCCACGTAACAAGTGGGTTGTTCGGGCTGTCTGAGCTAAAACAAACACAAAAAACGCTGCACCTGCTCTCTTATTTCAACGGAACGGTGTCATTGTTGTGTGTCGTCAGCCTCTTTGCTAAAGTCCCGCCCCATCCCGGCCGTGATTGGTTGCTTGGCCGCGAAGTTCCTGCTCTCTCTCTGTATAGATTATACATGTTGTGCCGTTATAACTTTGGTGTGAGGTTGGTTTGACCTCACAGGGGTCTTAAAGGTTTAAAAGGTTCCTTCTGAATAATCTGATCACTGGTCTCACTAATGGACGCATCAATTCTGGAGTGAAAGAATCCACAGTGCTCTTTAGTTCATCTTCTAATTAGTGCAAATCACAGAGGACAATGTCCTCCGGCAACCAATGTTGTGTCCCAAGTGACTCATTGAACACCTGGTGGAGAAGCGGCCCCTCCGGAGCACAACAGACCTGAATATCGACAAAGCAATGGAGCTTCTCTGCGTGGGAGACGTCCGATAGACTTTGTGACTGCAGACATTTAATAGAGGAAGTTCTCCATCAATCCAAAGGAGGGTGGTTGGTTTCCTCCTCGCTTTGACTCAACCTCAACCTCAACAGAAGTGTCCCTCAGCAGCCTTTCTCCTCGTCCCTGCAGGTAAGGTGCTGTCTCCGGCGAAGAAGACGTCCCGCAGCGGAAACCCCTGGGTGTCTGTGCTCCTCTCCTGGTTCCTCGTGCAGGTGAGTGGAGATGAGTGAGGTGGACGTTTGATACGTATCACAAGAGCAGCCGGCGGTGGTCATCAACAGGTGAATGATGGGGTGAAAAAAATAAAAGAACAATCAAGGTAAAGAAAACTAAAACCAAAGTTTATCCCGAGAAATCATCGTTTTTCTTCTGACGCCTTCGCTCGTTTCCTCTTCGAATGATGGGAAAGGCTTTTGATTGCCGGCACGTCTTTGATTTTCAATCAATGGGCCTAAGAAATATGGAGCTTCAAACCAAGTTGGAAAATGAAGATTTAAACCCCGGTTTTCTTTTTAAAAGATTCGGTGAAATTGACAAATCCGGGATAAATTCCTGTGGAGCCACAGAAGCAGTGAAGCTCGGCACAAAGAAGATGAGCTCCAACAAGCTGCTATTCTTTTTACATAACAGGTTCCAAGTTAGTGAGCCTGAGCTCCCGTCATAAAGGCGAGAACGCCTTCTGCATGATCTTCATTTAGTAAATGATGCTGCATTCAGAGGCAAACAGACCCATAAAGCAGGGGACGCTTCGGGGCGGGGCTACATGCTGATTGACAGGTCTCCACCAGAGAGGTCGGGGGGCGTCTCTACGTTGTAATCAGTCCTAAATATGGTCATTTCCTGTCTGCTGGTTGCAAAAAGTCAAGATGACGACAGCTAAGATGCCGAAATGGTTGATGACAGCGTCCAATTTATCTATAGTATAGATCTATAGACGTATAGATCTGTGTTAGATACGTACGTACCCGAGCCGGGTAGCCATCAAACCACATGCACGCAGGGTTTGTAGTATTGGAATCAGTCTCCTAATGAATGCAGTGCTGCCATGGAGGAGGAGAGTGCAGTAGAGTTCTTCCATGTGGAGGAGTAAGTAAACAGGAGTAAGTCCTCCTGTGGAGAAGCATATCGGTGGGAGGCGAGAGGGGAGGGCAGAGAGACAAAGGGGCGAATCTCTAGACCATCCCGTCATTATGGAGGTGAGTGTCTAAATGGCCGTTCATTATATGTGCTCGGCCTCCCTCTCTCTCCTCCCTGGCCTCCCCTCTTCCTCCCTCGCCAACCTCCAGGAGCAGAGGAGGAGCAATTAGAATGGAAATCGTTAGTCGTGCCCCCGCTTCCACCACCCGAGATCATTGACTCTCTCGCCCCCCCTTTTTTCTCTCCGCCTCCTCCTTTGCCATTCGGATGATTCACTGATGACAAAAGTCTGCTTGTAATCTCGCCTCGAGGAAACGAGAATGAGGGGGGAGTGGGGACGGGGGGGGGGGGCAGGAGGGGGGCACATGATATCTTCTGAGAATTCCGACTCGTCGCCGCCTGCCTGTTAACACTTTAGCTCTTGATTAATACTGTTGACTGCGTGCACCCGACTCGCCCTCCGTCCAGCCGGAACCAGCGGCGCTGGAGCGGCGCTTCTGAACAGACAAAGAAAGGCGTGGCTTTGTAGTCCACGCCCCCCCCCCCCCTCTCCGTTCGAACCTCAGCTCAAATTTATGGCAATTTATTCACGCGCTCCAGTAAAAACAGCCGCACGAAAACATGCCGGGGGGGTTTGGTGCACACGGTCGTCCATGGCGGCCTGTGTCTGAGTTAATGGCTGATTACTGCTCTGTTAGAGATGACTCCCTAATGGGGGGGAGGGTGGGGGGGGACACCCACTGACTTTGACTGCCAGAGAGGTCACGCGCTCTCTGGCAGTCTCTCAAAACACCTCTTCTTCTTCTTTTGTCTCCCTCGGGCCTCGGCCCCCCTTCTTGACCGCCTATCGATAATGTGACGCCATTAATCTCAATTCCTCGTCATTCCCTTCCACCTTCGGTTTAGGGTCAGCGATCCCCCCCCCCCCCGGCCCCTCGTAAGCATGCCCTTGAGCTGGAGCGGACGTGGAGATGTGTATATTCATGTGTTCGATAACTTCATTATTGGTTAATGCAGCATAATAAATACATCATTGGATTAACGGGGCAGTTAAAGCAGCTTTGTTTTGCTGCACCTGTATATTTTAACAATAGTACTCTTATTTTCGAGGATTACTTTGCTTTTATTCTTTTAGTATTACCATTATTCTTAAAGCTCATGAACTCAATTGGTCTGTAATGGAATATTGAATATATACGTATTACTTACACGTATTGGCTGCCGACTCATGAAAAGTCATTTGATGAGATTCATACTCCACTACGAGTTGCCATGGTGACAAATCTATAACACTTTGAACTGGTCCATTTCTGAACATACCTGTTATTGTGCCTCCAATACTAAACAACACATTCAAAGACAAACAAACAAACATCATCTGTCGTGCACGCGTAGACATTTCTGTGCACTGTGACATGAAACGCACTGGATCCCCTCTGTCTGCTCCTCCCAGCTGGTGCTTTTCTCCGGGAAGCTGAACACCATCGCCAGCATCGTGACCATCTTCTTCCTGCTGGTGTACGCGGCCGTGGACCTGGCCTGCCTCGCCCTGGAGTGGGCCTCCGCGCCCAACTTCAGGTACGTCACCTCGAGTGACGCCGGTCGCCGAGGGGGGGGGGGAGCGTCACGTGACTTCTTTTGTTCCGCCTCCGTTGTTTGTTTTCGCGTGTGTGAAGATGTGGCGGCTGGCCAGCTGGTTGCTGCCATGGCGACAGTCCGCTAATTAAAAGCCATAAAACCGGCCTCCGCTTACAGCCTCGTGCTGGACAGGGACCGGCAGTAAAACTGTGTGTGTGTGTGTGTGTGTGTGTGTGTGAGCTCCAGTAGCAGCGCGTGGCGATGTTCTCGAGATATAAAGTAACAACGTGTGTGTGTGTGTGTTGTTTGTATTACCGAGGACGCTTGTAATGGTCCTGATTTATAAAAAGCTCCCAGAAGCCCCGGGGGCAGTTTGTACCGTGCATGCAGCTGCGTGATTACATCCACGCCGCCCGGCACTAAAGAAAGAACATCCCGAGTCCAAAGACGCTCCTCCGCTGATTGAAGTCCTCGCTGGCCGTGAAAAAACATTTCAGACGCGACAACCGCTGCCGTCTTTTATTTGTCACGGAGAAGAGAAACCGTTTAAAACGTTTCTTTTATTTCAGTTTTGTTATGACAGATTGCCTCCAGAGTGTGTGTGTGTGTGTGTGTGTGTGTGTGTGTGTGTGTGTGTGTGTGTGTGTGTGTGTGCGCTCTCCTCTCGCCGTGGGAGATGAGAACATTTACAGCTCTTCAAGTCAAGGACACATCAGTCAAATAGGGTTGTAACACATAAAACCACTTATAGATATCACGGCCAATCAGAAACCGGCTTTGCTTCCACCACTGACTTCCTGTTTGGACACCATGGCAACGGCAAGAGCTCCATGCCTTAAATCCACCAAAGAACATTAGAGCCGGAATCCGTCGTGAGAAGTTCCTCCACGTTCCTCCGGGCCTCGTGCTATCGGCTCGGCCCTCGTTATCGCCGCGGTGACCGCTGGCAAAGTCTCCGGGACACAAAGTTAGCCGCACAACTTGCTCCCCCACCGCTCACCCCCCCCCCCCCCCCCCCCGACCCCGGCGGCGGCCTCGCGGAGCTGATAAGGGCGGCCGTGTTCCGCCTCCCTCTTCATGCCCCCCCCTGAGTGGTCCTCATTGTTGCCGTGTCAACCGGGGACGTCTGACGCCAGTTGTTGGTGTGCGTTTGTGTATGGCTGTTGTTGTTGTTGTGCTCTGCACTCCGCTCCGTGTCTGGCTCCCTCTCCCACGTCTCTTTCCAGGCAAAAAGAATTAAAAGCCATTTAACGCCCCCCCCTCCTCCCCCTCCCCCAAGAACTGCTCCGTAATGAGCATAACTAATTTAGCAGAAATATTTTCCTTTCCCCTTAAATCTGCTGTTGTGTCGAGGAGCGACTGAAATTATGATGTAGCGGAAAATATGTCTGCTTGTTAAGTGTGCGTGTGTGTGTGTGTGTGTGTGTGTGTGTGTGTGTGTGTGTCGTGGAGGTATGCGAGTTGGGGAACTGTTTGTGTGTCTCAGATCCAAGTCATGGCGATCATTGATGTGTGAGCGCATCTGTCGCTTGACTGTGTGTGTCTGTGTGTGTGTCTGTGTGTCTGTGTGACTGTGTGTCTGTGTGTCTGTGTGTGTGTGTCTGTGTGACTGTGTGTCTGTGTGTGACTGTGTGTCTGTGTGTGACTGTGTGTGTCTGTGTGTGACTCTGTGTGTCTGTGTGTGACTCTGTGTGTCTGTGTGTCTGTGTGACTGTGTGTGTGTGTGTGACTGTGTGTGTCTGTGTGTGTGTCTGTGTGACTGAGTGTCTGTGTGACTGTGTGTCTGTGTGTGACTGTGTGTCTGTGTGACTGTGTGTCTGTGTGTCTGTGTGTCTGTGTGTCTGTGTGACTGTGTGTGTCTGTGTGACTGTGTGTGTCTGTGTGTGACTGTGTGTGTCTGTGTGTGACTGTGTTTGTCTGTGTGACTGTGTGTCTGTGTGTGTGTCTGTGTGTGTGTCTGTGTGACTGTGTGTGTCTGTGTGTGTGTCTGTGTGTGTCTGTGTGACTGTGTGTGTCTGTGTGTCTGTGTGTGTGTCTGTGTGTGTCTGTGTGTGTGTCTGTGTGTCTGTGTGTGTCTGTGTGTGTGTGTGACCGTCTGTGTCTGTGTGTGTGACTGTGTGTGTCTGTGTGTGTGTCTGTGTGTCTGTGACTGTGTGTGTGTGTGTGTGTGACTGTGTGACTGTGTGTGTGTGTGTGTCTGTGTGACTGTGTGTGTCTGTGTGTGTGTCTGTGTGTGTCTGTGTGACTGTGTGTGTCTGTGTGTCTGTGTGTGTGTCTGTGTGTGTCTGTGTGTGTGTCTGTGTGTCTGTGTGTGTCTGTGTGTGTGTCTGTGTGTCTGTGTGACTGTGTGACTGGTGTGTGTGTGTGCTGTGTGTGTCTGTGTGTGTGTCTGTGTGTGTCTGTGTGACTGTGTGTGTCTGTGTGTGTGTCTGTGTGTGTCTGTGTGTGTGTCTGTGTGTCTGTGTGTGTGTGTGACCGTCTGTGTCTGTGTGTGTGACTGTGTGTGTCTGTGTGTGTGTCTGTGTGTCTGTGACTGTGTGTGTGTGTGTGTGTGACTGTGTGTGTCTGTGTGTCTGTGTGTGTCTGTGCGCTCGAGCTTGTGGGTATTTTCCTTTATCTGTGTGTGTGTTTTGTGCGAGGAGGCTTCTGTTGGCTGTGTCTTTATCAGCATTGGCTCCAGCTGTGTGGAGTGTTCCTCTGGGGGGGGGGGGGGGGGCTCTTGGATGACCACATGTGCACATTAACACCAGCGCAGCACACGCAGTGTCACAAGGTCGCACGCTGAGGCCAAAGGGGGAGGGGTCTTGGGGGGGGGGGGGGGGGGGGCTGAACTCGCCGAATGTCGATGCATTTATCCACAAGTGTCTCCAGATCCAACCTGAAAGTCCACGGTGCAGGAGAGGCTGTGATTGGCCAGTCCATTCCCAAGGGGCGGGACTTCACTTGGCTCCCAACGGGCCGAACCGCTCTGTGATTCCTTAAATGGATTCTTGAGGTCGGCCCGGGCTCTGGCTGACGTAACGTCTCAACCTCTCACTTGAAGCCCCCCCCACAGTGTGTGTGTGTGTGTGTGTGTGTGTGTGTGTGTGTGGGGGGGGGTACGGACTACGTTCCTGTGTCTTTTGGCTGCAGGCCGGGTCTCCTCCCTCCTTTTGTTAATGTCCCTCGAGGACTCGGCTGCTTTTTTCCCCGCTGTGTCAGCAGAGTGACATCAGCCTGCTGTGGGGGGGGGGGGACGGGACGGGACAAGGACCGTCGCCGCTGGTGACAAAAGAGTTGGGGGGGCTTTCACCGTAATTACACCTGCTCTCAGAGGGGGGGGGGGGGGGGTGAGCGGACGCTGAGTGATCAAGTAAGGACGAATAAATAAAAGCACACTTTGGTGACGAAGCATTAGAAGACCACCGTTTACCAGTTGGACATTATGCCGTGTGCAACAAGAGGCCGTGTATGTGTCCAGTCATTAGAAACCAGACGAGCTGATGAAGTTGTCAGGATATAATAAATATAATATAATAAATAGAATGTTCCTCTGGGGACCACGATTATCCAACCCGGGGGATTATATCAGGATTTATGGTTTTCTTAAAGAATAACAGCCGTCGTCGTCTTCCCCTAAAAATGACTCTCTGCGTCTGTGATTCCTTCATCTCCCTTATCTTTCCGTGCCCCCCCCCCCCGTCCCCCTCCCCCCCCTGCTGTTTGGTTTAAAACAGTCTGAATCTGTTAATCTGTCTACTTGAGCTGCGCTGGGTAATTACTGCTGGGACTTAATAGCTGTTTATCTACATTATTCGAGGGTTTCGCGTGCGGCTCGCGTGTGTGTGTGTGTGTGTGTGTGTGTGTGTGTGTGTGTGAGGTGGAGCATCGAGCTGCACAGCTTATTATCCAGGTGTTATCTCGGCTTCCTCCCGGACCCCCGGACCCCCGGTCCTCCGTGCGGTCTCCCGTTAGGAAGCGACGGGGACCTCAGACCTTTCTCTCGGTTCAGATCTGACCTTTTTAAAACAAATTGCTGGACTACGTATTGTTTTTGATAAGGTGCTGTTTGTTTATCCCACCGGTTTAAACCCCCCCACTCTCCCCCCCTCAAAGTGACACCTCCTAATTACAGTAGAGGGTCCGTTTGCATGCAGCCGCCACTTCCTGTTAATTAGTATTCAACCTGCAGCGGCGTTATGGCGCGGCGGTACGAAGACAGCACGCCGTGTGGGCTTGGATTTAAATGAAGCAGTTGTTGTTGTTGTTGTCATTGTTGTTGTTATTAAGCAGAGGCTCTTCTTTTCGATCGCGGCACACACACACACACACACACACGTGGAGGCGGGACCTCTGGATTTAACCGGCCCTCCGCATTTGGCGGGTTTGAGGCGCAGCGGCACGCCGAACAGGATGCCGGTTCCTCTCGAAGACGAGCCGACAGACGGATGTTCACTTCTTCTAAAGCTACAACTGAGCGTGTATGAGTTTCTACATGAACAACGGCCATCAATCCGCCCCCTGTGGGGGTCACCAACTCTCGTGAAAATTGTTTAATTTAATTCAATTTGAGTATTTTCTTACTTTTTAATAGTAAAGGCAGTGACACGGCCAACAGTGCTCAATAAAAACTAAAGAAGAAGAAATAACGTTGAGTATAAAATTAAAAATCTTCAACCTTCAAGTGATGAAATCTTCTTCTTCTACTCTCACAGAACATCAGGTGAGCCGTGTGCCGGTTCTTAGCGTGCCGATGGTCATTAACTATCACTACGACCAGCGCATTGTATTGATTGACTGCCCCCCCCCCCCCCCATTTACAGGCCCACCTTCCGTTACTTCACCTGGGACACCTGCGTGCTGGGCATCGTGGGGTGCGCCGTCCTGATGTTCCTCATCAACGCCATCTACGCCTCGGCCAGCATCGCCTTCATGCTGCTGCTGCTGCTGCTGATCCACTACCTCAGCCCCACCTCCAGCTGGGGCTACATCAGCCAGGCGCTCATCTTCCACCAGGTCAGACACCGAGAAGCCCCGCCTCCTTCGCGAGGGACACGCCTCTGCCGGGCTGCGGTCCCGTCCGGCACGCTCGCACAAACACACACACACACACACACACAGACGGACTCTTTCTCATCCAAACACTTTGCATCCACCAGACAAACACACACACACACACACACATCGCTGCCTTGTCATTCCAACAGCAGCTATCTATCACATTTATATCAGGTCTGCCAGACACACACACACACACACAGCTTTACATCATCCAGCTCTCTGTGTCCTCTATCTGAGTGAGCCTGTTGCTCTCAAGGAGAGGGGGCCTGGTTGCCAGGAAGGGCTCGTTGCCAGGGAGGGGGGCCGGGGGGGGGGGGTGATGGCGGCCGGTTTGCCAGCAGCTCGTCGGGAGGCAGAACATTATTACAAGCACTTAACTTATTGAGCTTATTCCTCCTTTCTCTCGCCCCCCCCCCCCTTTAATTCACTTCAGCTCCTCTTCAGTTTCTCTTCCTTTGTTTCTCTCAACCAGAGACGCAGAGAACGCAGGACTTCATTTCACATTCTGTGCGGTGACCAGCAGGGGGCGACTCCTCTGCTCCCATAGACGTCTATGAGGAAATGACTCTACTTCTCTGTAGTGACCAGCAGGGGGCGACTCCTCTGCTCCCATAGACGTCTATGAGGAAATGACTCTACTTCTCTGTAGTGACCAGCAGGGGGCGACTCCTCTTCTCCCATAGACTTCTATGAGGAAATGACTCTACTTCTCTGTAGTGACCAGCAGGGGGCGACTCCTCTGCTCCCATAGACGTCTATGAGGAAATGACTCTACTTCTCTGTAGTGACCAGCAGGGGGCGACTCCTCTGCTCCCATAGACTTCTATGAGGAAATGACTCTACTTCTCTGTAGTGACCAGCAGGGGGCGACTCCTCTGCTCCCATAGACGTCTATGAGGAAATGACTCTACTTCTCTGTAGTGACCAGCAGGGGGCGACTCCTCTGCTCCCATAGACGTCTATGAGGAAATGACTCTACTTCTCTGTAGTGACCAGCAGGGGGCGACTCCTCTTCTCCCATAGACTTCTATGAGGAAATGACTCTACTTCTCTGTAGTGACCAGCAGGGGGCGACTCCTCTGCTCCCATAGACGTCTATGAGGAAATGACTCTACTTCTCTGTAGTGACCAGCAGGGGGCGACTCCTCTGCTCCCATAGACGTCTATGAGGAAATGACTCTACTTCTCTGTAGTGACCAGCAGGGGGCGACTCCTCTGCTCCCATAGACGTCTATGAGGAAATGACTCTACTTCTCTGTGGTGACCAGCAGGGGGCGACTCCTCTGCTCCCATAGACGTCTATGAGGAAATTACTCTACTTCTCTCTGGATTTATTCCCTCAGTAAACACTGTAAACATGAGTTTATGGTCTCAGTCTCTAGTTTCAAGTCTTCTTCAACGCAGCTTGATGTTCATTTAGTGAATTATGGTCCATTTAGAGACAAACGGGCCATAAAGCAGGGGACGCTTTAGGGCGGGGCTTAACTGGAGTAGAGAGTTCAGTACCAAAGTGTTTGTTCAGCATGTGGTTGCTCTAAGCTCCGGAATGCTTATTGTTTCATAACTTTAACCCACAGAACAACAGGTGACGTCACAGCTAGACCGACAACAACGGCGGGATCGGGGGGGGGGGGGGTCTGTCCACGTGTGGCGGGACGGCAACTGATTGACATTGAAGCGGCAACAACAACCATCCAAACGGAGTTGACGATAACAAGCTGCGTTGTTTAATAAAATGAAGAAAAAGAAGCGCTGATGGTATCGGTGGGGGGGGGGAGTATAAGCAGGAGGAGGGGATGAGTGATTGAGAACTAAGTGATGGATGAGACTGACGTGGCGGAGGAATGATGATGGCCTGATGGATGGGGAGACGGGGGGGAAATGCAGAGATAAAGAGAGACGGATGATTAGAGGAGCCGGGGCAGTTTGGCCCCCGGGGGCCTCGGACAGCGGCTTGGAAACAGCTGGGCTGATTATGAGGGTAATAATGTCGGGAATGTCGTAACGTTACCTTCTTTTCAGGGGATCGCCCCCCCCCCTTCGTATATGTCGCTCTCCAACGAAGCGCTTCCATTAAGTGGCGATTCCGTGAGCCGGAGGAGGCCTTCTTCTTTAATTGGCCGGTACTTTGGCTGCGCTACCCCCCCCCTTCCCCCCTTCCACCCCCCCTTCTGCTCTGAGCGTGATGTGTTGGCTGCAGTTAACTTTGTGTCCTTCACGTCTCCGTCCAGCTGCTGAGTTTCTCAGACGCTCTTTTTGAAAGTACTAAGAATTTAGGAACCGTAAGAACGAAATGATTCCGGCTTCTCCACCTCGAACCATCGAAGGCCTCATCGCCATGGGGACAAATAGGAGTCCCGGTCAGGAGAAAGGTCCGCAGGGGGATAACGTATCTGAGTGCGATCCATGAAACTTTGAGAAGAAGCCGAGCGTACTCGTTGCTCATTCACGATACAAAGTATAGCACACGCTAGCATTCAGGCATTCATTAACTGCAAGCCCATGTGTGTGCATGTATGTATATATCCCGCTATGTGATGGTATTGCCTTTTCAACTAAACACATTCATTCATTGACCCCGAAACGGGTTACTTAGGCCTGCCACGATATCACATTTTGAAATCAAGCACCAAAAATGTGTGCGATAAGCCAATTTATGGCATATGGCGACAGGCCTATATATACTCTTTTTATATCAACAGAAACCTGACAAATGGGCTCATGCATTCACAGATGCACACGTGCACACACAGGTAGCCTCACACGCTAATGGGGTGTTGATTAGAGATGTGATTTGTCTCTACATGAGAGAAATTTGTGCACTTGCGTTACCGCGGCGCCTGCAAACATACGAGACACGAGTCAGTCAGCAGAGCTTCTGCTGTTGACGCATCCAGTATTTTATCATCCACAGCGTCACTAACGGGACCTTTTATAATAAGTAGTAGTTGCAACTTATTTTGCTTTTGGGACCAAAAAATTGACTCCTGATTCGAATACAGACAAACAACACAAAAATGACTTTTTTTCATATTCATCCGTGATGTGCAACAAAAGAGATTTGGGGAGATCTGTTTTTTGCATCTGCAAAGAAAATCAGTGCATAACAATCTGGGTTTAGTCAAATAAAACAAAAGAAAGTGAGAAAAACATTGATCGAGAAAAATGAGATCTACACTCAAATTCGGTTATGTGATTTTTAAGGTTAAAAGTTCAACTTTGGAAACAGCAGTTGAGAAAACAATCAAGTTCCATTTAAATCTGTCTGTCAATCAGCGTGTAGCCCCGCCCTTCTGTAGTTGATTGTCCCAGTGCTGTTGATAATATGATCCTTGTGTTGTCATTATAAGGTTCCACCTTTAAATGAATGACCTTCTGGTAAAGCTGACTATACCTCCATAGCCTTGAGCTTAATAAATAAATCTCGCGCCACGTAAGCTTAAAAACCCGAAATGTCTAAGAAAGTGAAATGCCATCCGTGTGCGTGGCGGTCACATCACCTCCAGCAGAATGTGTCTTGGATTCCTTTTAATGTAATTAAGCCGGGATCTGGTTTGCATCGGGGAGGTAAACAAACGCGCTTCCCTTCGTTAACCCTCATCCCGATGCCTTCGCCCCCCCCACAGGTGCGGAAGTACCTGCTGATGCTGGACGTGAGGAAGGACCACGTTAAGTTCTGGAGGCCTCAAGTCCTGCTGATGGTGTCCAACCCTCGCAGCAGCGTCGGCCTCATCAGGTTCATCAACGACATCAAGAAGAGCGGCCTCTACGTGTTGGGACACGTGGAGCTCGGAGACCTCAGTAAGGAAGCTGCTGAGCCTCTGACTTAAAGCAGCGCAGGGGGAGCTAACAGTGTTCAGCTGAAGGGGAGCCCAATAGTTTTGTTCTGTTATCTCAAATGTAAATGTATTGAATGTTGTTCGACATCCAACACATCAAGACCGCCGGCAGTCCGATGGACCGGACTCTTACTTTGAAACTCTCAGAAATCTCTCGCGACGAAGGAAACTCTTACTTTGAAACTCTCAGAAATCTCTCGCGACGAAGCAAACTCTTACTTTGAAACATCGTCCTACATTTTTCCTGCGAACAGTCAGGAAAGTTTTTCAGCGTGACACCAGATCATCGCGAGCACTTTAAAGTTTCCTTCTGCTTCATTTCTCAACTAATCCGCCGACTGTTGATTCGGTAATTGACCGTCGGCGAGCGTTACGGCAGATAGATTTTTGGATAACTTAACGTTATTATGATATTTACAGACGGCGACGCTAAAAGGTTGTGTGAACTGCTGCTGATGCATTTCTAAAAGCAGCTTGTTGTGCTGTTCGTCAGTGAGACGGCAGCGACACCCCCACTTTGCTTCAGCGCTCCCACGCGGGATCAAACGCCTTTTATAAAATGTGCGAGGGGCGCAGCGAGCGGCGCCTCACTTAGCGCTTTAGCATTCCGCACATCTCTCGGCGGCTCATTTTGAGTTATTTTTTTGATGATTTCTCTGTTGGTCGAGGACGCCGCGGGACAGCGGAGTCTTTGGAACACGAATCCTCTCCCGTGCTTCAACGGGGGGAACGGTGTCCGCTAGCTGCTGTAAAGGGCCCTCCGGTGCTGATGGTGCACTCGGTCCTTATGAAGGACTGACCCCCCCCCCCCACGGTGGATTCTGAGGACCCCTGTAATGACGACCTGTCCCAAGCATTCCATTTAAAGTGCTTCAGAGTTCCAATGAGTCTGTAGAGATCACACTCTATGAATTGCTTGATGTTTTATTTTGAAGGGCGGGGAGGGGGGGCTCTGTGTGCCGACATCTGAGCCTCTCATCTCTTCCTCCTCCCCCTCTATTTGTCTCTGAAGCCCAGCAGCTCTTCTCCCTCGCCTCACACCGTTTTGTCCCCCCCCCCCATCAGACAAGCTGCCGTCGGACCCCCTGCAGTCCAAGTACGACTCCTGGCTGTCGCTGGTGGACCACCTCAACATCAAAGCCTTCGTCAACTTGACGCTGGCCGACTCGGTGCGTCACGGCGTCCAGCACCTCCTCTTCATCTCTGGACTAGGTCAGTGCCATCGCCGGCCCACAATGCACCAGCAGGTCGGTGAGGTCGCCGGGACGCTCGCGCTGGTATTAATGTCGCCGTCCGAGCGTCTGCGTGGCCTAAACTATCATCGCCCCTCTTTGACTGTCTCTTTGTTTTGGCGGCCACTTCCTTTTCCTTTAGTGCCCAAACTGAAACTCACACTTCCACTTCACTGAGCGCTAACACTTCAAGTTCAACCGCCACCTGCTGTTATTCTGTTATTCATGGTGGTTATTCTAATCTAATTAACACTTAAACTCGTCGTTTTAGTGTGTGTTTAGTTTCTTTCTGTGTTTCCATTGAAGCTCCACTTCAACTCGAGCTCATTCAGTATAATTCCAGTCAGAGAACTTTGCTCAGTAAGCAGCCACTTCACTGCTTTCAGTGCTTGAACCTTTCGTTACAAAAACATGCTGTTAAATACGTTTTGCTGATTGCTGATATACGAGGACGAAGAAACTAACTGAGCTTACAGACGTTTATTCTCTGGAGTTCCAGTCTCACCGGACCCCCCCCACGCCCCCCCCACCCTTTGTACCGTTTCAGGCGGGATGCGTCCCAACACCCTCGTCCTCGGTTTCTACGACGACGGCCTCCCGAGGGACAAGCTGATCGATCCGTTGCTCGCCGCCGGCCAGCCCGCGGACCCCTCAGAATCCCCGAGGGGCAGCCCGCCCTCTTCCACTTCTCGACCCTGCGGGGGTCCGGCGACGGGCGGGACCTCGGCGAGTCGGGCGACGGGAAGGTCCTCGGCCCCCAGGAGTACGTGTCCGTCATCGCCGACGCCATGAAGATGCTGAAGAACGTGGTGCTCGCCCGGCACTTCAACGACTTTGACCGCGGCCGCGTCCTCTCCGCCGGGCCGAAGGGGCGCTGTACGTCGACGTCTGGCCCGTCAACCTGCTGCGCCCCGACAGCTGCAGCTACGTCGACACCTGCTCCCTCTTCCTGCTGCAGCTGGCGTGCATCCTCAACATGGTGCGCGCATGGCGCCGGGCCACGCTCCGCCTCTTCCTGTGCGTGGAGGAGGGGCGGACGGTGAGGGGCTCGGAGCAGAAGCTGGGCCAGCTGCTGAAGGAGCTGCGCATCAAAGCTCAGGTGTACTCTGTGCCCTGGGACCAGCAGGTGGCGCTCCACTGGCAGCGGCAGGGCGAGTGGGGCAAGAAGCCGCCTCCGCCGCCGCCGTCCCCCGGCGAGGAGAAGGAGCGGCGGGCGGAGCAAGAGGAGGAGAACGACGACCAGTACGCCAACAGCTTCCCGAGCAACGCCACGCGCCTGTCGGACGACTACCTGTCCGCCGTCAACCGGCTGATCCTGGACTCGGCCCGGCCGCCGCCCGCCGTGCGTTTCCTGTACTTGCCCCGCCCGCCGGCCGACACCCGGCGCTACACCACCTACCTGCAGCAGCTGCAGCTGATGACGCGGGACCTGGGCCCCACGCTGCTCATCCACGGGGTCACGCCCGTCATCACCACGGACCTCTGAGGGGAGGGGCTCTCCGCGGAGGTCGCGCGGTTTGATGGTGAAACTACTGAAACATGTTTACGGTGCCAGAAACTACTGTGATTATACGCGTAGTGTATTTTAGGTTTATTACGTTTATTAAGAGATTTTACTGACTCGTGATCCAGCAGACCAACGAACAGGTGCTAGCTACAGCTAACATCGGCTAACATCGGCTAACATCGGCTAACATCAGCTAACATCTGCTAGCATTAGAGAGCATCAGCTAACATCTGCTAGCATTAGAAAGCATCAGCTAACATCTGCTAGCATTAGAAAGCATCAGCTAACATCTGCTAGCATTAGAGAGCATCAGCTAACACCTGCTAGCATTAGAGAGCATCAGCTAACATCTGCTAGCATTAGAGATTATCAGCTAACATCTGCTAGCATTAGAGATTATCAGCTAACATCTGCTAGCATTAGAGAGCATCAGCTAACATCTGCTAGCATTAGAAAGCATCAGCTAACATCTGCTAGCATTAGAGAGCATCAGCTAACATCTGGTCAGAACGAGTGTCTCGTTTCTCTGTAGAAGTTTTGTAGCATTTTGTTTGCCGCTCGCTGCGTTGATGCACTCTGTCGTCTCCGATGGTTAAACTCTTATTTTTGTTGGTACATCGTCAGTTTATAAACCACCGTTTGGTCGAATAGATTTTATAATAAAATATATACATCTATATCTTTCTCCCCACCCAGATTGTTTTTACGTCGCTCAGTGGAGGCGGGGCGTTGCCATGGCAATCAGTTTGGAATTACAATGAAGCATCAGAACGATGTCAGTCGCGGGTTTTATTATAAGATAAATGATCTTTCAGTCTCAATCGTGGTGACAATGTACCTGCAGGAAAGGGGCGGAGCTTTGACTGTTTGCACACTACACACCTGGACACGCCGTCAGTCACTACATCGCCAACCGCTGTCCTGAGAAGCACAAACAACAACAACAATGATGAGGACTCGTTGGAGTGATGAAATGCTCAAATGTATCTGTAGTTTAGAAGATGGAATCTGATGTGACGTGAACAAAGAATTAAACGGTTTGTATTGTGTTTCTTCTTCTTGTTCCACGTGGTGAAGCTGAAGGTTTGAGGTAAACTAGGAAATATGGGGGAGAGAGTTGTCGGCTCGGACAGAGATACGAGGGGCCAAATGACCCTGGGGGGGGGATTCTATTTCCGCTCCGAGGTGAACAACAGATTAAAGGAATAAGCCCAAAGAACCATCAATATCTGCTCAGGAGGAGGGAGGCCTCCATTTATCACCGGGGGGGGGGGGCTGAACAACGGGTTCAATATGAGGTTTTCCCATGTGTGTTTTGATGTTCCTGGATTTGTTTTTATCACTCCGAGAGAATAATTCCTTTCCACACCTGTGACCAAAGTCACTGCTGGCTTCTTCTTCTCCTTCTTCTTCTTCTTCTTCTTCTTCTGGCTCTTCTTTCTCCATCTTCTGGCGTCTTTCTTTTCAACGTCTTCTTCTTCTTCTTCTTCTTCTTCTCCTTCTTTGGCCGGTTACAGTCGTGGTTCGATCTAAATTGACAATCCTCTTTCTGTTGTTTGTAATAATTTTAAAAAGAATTTCTTAAAAATAGACCTTTATTTTCTCTGAAACCCTTCGAGGAGGAGAATCCAAACTTCTGTGTTTCATCCTTCCACCGTAAGATTTTCATGAAAGTTGTTTTTTTAACGACAAGATATACAAAGAGAACAAAGAGGATGTTGGGTAATAATTAGAATATATATTAAACATATTAATCATACCCTCTAAACTATAAAAACATTTTCATATTCATATTAAATAATAATTATTTGCTATTTAAGCCGATATGTCACAAAACGTAAACTAAATACTTTCATTGAAGTAAAGGAAAGAAAGCAAAAAAAGAAATGGTGACAGGAAACGGAGGAGATGAAGGACAGTGTGTGTGTGTGTGTGTGTGTGTGTGTGTGTGTGTGTGTGTGTGTGTGTGAGTGTGAGTGTCGGAAATCAAAGATGGAGTCCGTCAGCGTGCCTCCGAGTCAAAATAAGACTCTGTCAAGTCGGCACAACCCTGATCAGAGGAAACTCGTCGTTAGCTTGTCACTACCACGGTGTGTCAGAGCCCACCGACCTCCGGGCCCCCCGACACACACACAACACACACACACACACACACACACGCTTCACCGCTTATAATTTCCATTTCATCTGCATCTTCCGATCCACTTAATGCTACGTGAGTCGACAGGTGGATCGGACAGGCGGCCTTGTCAAGTGGAATTTTGTCACACTGACACCCAGATTTCATCGCTGGTTTCTGGGTTTCTCCCCCCTCCTCCCTCCTTCCCTCCCTCCCTCCCTCTCTCCTCCCTCCCTCTCTCCTCCAGTCCAAACAGACTTCGGGCTTCTCCTGCGAACCTCGTGTGCATTGCAATGTGTGCAGAAAGCCTCAAAACCTCAAACTGCTGAGAACCGACAAAGTGTGTGTCTCTTTCTGTGTGTGTCTCTTTCTGTGGTGTGTGTGTCTCCTTCTGTGAGTGTGTGTGTGTGTCTCTTTCTGTGTGAGTGTGTGTCTCTTTCTGTGTAGTGTGTGTGTGTGTCTGCTGTTTTTTTTAACAAGATATTTTAGTGCTGAAACCCGCAATGAAACAACCTCTTGTTTATTAGTTCAGGTTGAAAGGAGGGAAAGTTTTTCAGGTCCGTCTCTGAACGACGCTGACATTTGTCTTGATGAACCACTTTCGTGAGTCCCAAGAGAATTACCCACAATTCATTGCGCTGGCGGGATGAACACGGCGTTGCAAGACGAGGCCAAAGAAACAAAGAGGCCGACTTTCTGTTCGGTTTTATCTTGTACAACTTGAGTTATTAATTCTTAATCAGATGCTTGTTAATCACTTTAACACATTACAGGTCATTTAGCTGACGCTTTTATCCAAAGCGACTTACATTGCATTTTTAACACACAGCTTTTTACATTTATGCCCACACACACATCCATGTACACACATTCATCAAAGCTGTGAGACGAAGTTCGTGATTGGCTGGGGCGCGTGTGGGGGGCGGGACCTTCAAGCCGCCCTCTCGTTACCATTAGAGAACGTGTCACGTAGTCGTGACCTCGGGCATTTGGAATCGATGATGAGGAAGATGTTGCAGGCTTCCACGTATCTATTAAGTAACGAATGTAACCATTTCTTCTGGACGCAGATTTCACTTTGCAGAAGCTTCCGTCTCGCTGTGTTGTGTCCGAGCAGGAAACCCGATAAGCTGTTTAAACCCGAAGCTCAACATCTCACCATCACTTGTTTGAATAACGGGATTGAATTGGAGAGGAGCTTTGGAAAAAAAACCTGCAAACCTGGAAGAATCGTTGAAGGTCTTCAGAGACGAGGTCCCTAGATTTGCGTTTGGTGAACTGCGCTGATGAGAGCGAGCAAAAAATAACACCTGGTTTAGAGGAGACTAATTGGAATTGGCTTAGGGGCTCATAGAGTTTAGTGATATTAATTAGTTCTGTATATATTCAAAGAATTTGTCTGGTCACATGATCAAATAGAGACATAACATTGGACAACATCCATATACATGCATATATATATATGCATATATGCATGTATATGGATGTTGTATATATATATATATATATATATATATATATATATATATGCATGTGTATGCATGTTGGAAATATATGTAGACCACATGTGTACCCGGGTCAGGTTTTGCATTGGTCCCACGTACTGCAGCCGGCTGTGTAAACACGCCATGTGGTGTGTGTGTGTGTTTGAGTTGGCAAAGCCGCGGCGGCGGCCCTCCTCTTCGTCACGCTCGTTGTGACATCTGTTGTCCCCGGTGCGTTCCTCGTTTCCAACGAGCTCTTTTTACAACCCCCGAAATTAATCTCCAGATTTGCACTGATCCCGCGTTGAGCTTCGTGTTTTTCATTTGACGTTAAAAACCCTTCACTGTATTGATTTTTTTGTTGCGGTATGTAAACGACTAAACAAATGATACCCCTGATTTGGAGATTTAGAAGCCCTTGACTGCATTTATTTGTCTCTCCCAGTGTCATTTAACTACAAAAATATGAAATGATGCACAATTTGTAGAAATACTTCCACTTACAGAAAAAAAGTGTAACGACAGAGAAGCAAACAAAGAGTGGGAGGGTTACGCTTCAAACATACAACCAGCATCTAATGCTCTTATTTTCACCCAAATCACGACATTTCCCACAAACTAAGGATTTCACCATATTTTTCTGAAACTTCTGAATTTCATTCAAATTAACCAACAAACTATTGAATTACAAGCCTCCAAAATGATCGATGACAAAAAATACATGAAGCATGTCATGAAATACTCGTTGGGCCCCTCGTTGGGCCCCTCGTTGTGCACCTCGTTGGACCCCTCGTTGGGCCCCTCATTGTGCACCTCATTCGGCCACCTCGTTGGGTCCCTCGTTGAACCCCTTGTTGGGCCCCCCGTTGGGCCACTCGTTGGGCCCCCTCGTTGTGCACCTCATTGGCCCCCTCGTTGGGCCCCTTGTTGTGCATCTCGTTGGGCCCCTCGTTGGGCCCCTCGTTGGGCCCCTCATTGTGCACCTCGTTGAACCCCTTGTTGGGCCACTCGTTGGGCCCCCTCGTTGTGCACCTCATTGGCCCCCTCGTTGGGCCCCTCGTTGGACCCCTCGTTGGGATTTTCCTGCAATTGGCTTTACTGAACCCCTCGGTGCTTCCCTGCAGGAAGTACACGGGATCCGGTCTGCAGCTGAATTATTATTGCCTTTTTTGCCAGTACATCATTGTATGGAGTTCCTCAGGGTTCTGTCCTGGGTCCCCTCCTGTTCTTGCTTTACACCAACTCTCTTGGCGCTGTCATTCGCTCGCATGGCTTCTCTTACCACAGCTATGCCAATGACACCCAACTAATTCTCTCCTTCCCTCACTCGGACACCCAGGTGGCGGCTCGGATCTCTGCCTGTCTAACTGACATCTCTCAGTGGATGTCCGCCCACCATCTGAAAATCAACCCCGACAAGACTGAACTACTTCTCTTTGCCGGAAAAGATTCACTTACTCAGGACCTGGCAGTCAACTATGGAAACTCCGTGCTAACGCCCACTTTGACCGCTAAGAACCTCGGCGTCACACTCGACAGCCAACTCTCCCTGACTCCCAACATCGCCGCGACAACGCGATCCTGTAGATACTCGCTCTACAACATCAGGAGAATACGTCCCCTTCTCACTCAGAAGGCAGCGCAGGTACTGATTCAGGCTCTTGTCATCTCCCGCCTGGACTACTGCAACTCCCTCCTGGCAGGTCTCCCTGCCACCGCCATTTGACCTATGCAGCTCATCCAGAATGCAGCAGCTCGACTGGTCTTCAACCTTCCGAAATTCTCCCACACTACTCCACTCCTCCGCTCTCTTCACTGGCTACCGGTGGCCGCCCGCATCCAGTTCAAAACACTGGTGCTCACGTACCATGCTGTGAATGGATCGGGTCCAGCTTACATCCAGGACATGGTCAAACCCTACATCCCAACCCGCACTCTCCGCTCTGCATCTGATAAACTGCTTGTTCCTCCCTCACTGAGAGCAAAACACTCGACTAGGTCTCGACTCTTCGCTGTCCTTGCGCCGAAATGGTGGAACGAGCTCTCTGAAGACATCAGGACCACAGAGAGCCTTCACATCTTCCGCCGCAAACTAAAGACACACCTCTTCAGACTCTACCTCGACTAAAGACTAACAAATTGTAGCACTTAAATTGTACTTGTAACGTCACTCATCTATAGCAAATTGTAAATTGGCTTATTTGAGGAATTTTACTTTCTTGTTTCTTGTTCTCCTGAGTTTGTATCCTATGGTTGAATGTACTTATTATACGTCGCTTTGGATAAAAGCGTCCGCTAAATTACGTGTAATGTAATGTAATGTATGATAAAACTATTGCTGCGAGTTCTTCCTTCCTAATTTTCTGCTTTCGTATTTTAAATCTACAACATTTTTATCCACCAAGGTTCTCTCTCTCTCGTCTTCCAGCGGGAAACACGGACTTCC